AGATATACTATTTACAGATGCCTCTAGATAGGTTTGAGCAAACCCTTCAGAGAGCTTAGTTGGTAGGGACAGTCAAAATAATGATCTTGTGGAGTAGTCTAAAAAGATGATATGAGCTTGCTTGCCCGAGTAATCATCATCCTCTAGTTGTCATCGGAATCGCCATTTCCTGCAACGAAAGTCTCCCACTCCGTTTTCGCCTTGTGGTTGTATAAATAAGATTCCTCTGGACAACTAAGCAATCAGCACCAGTGGTCTAGTGGTAGAATAGTACTCTGCCACGGTACAGACCCGGGTTTGATTACCGGCTCGTGCAACAAGAGTAATGAAGAAATTTTGCTTAGTGAATGTTGGGTCCTTTGCACCATCTGATACATATGATGATATTTGCCACATCCTGAGCTCTTTTTTTTTTTTTTGTGTTTTCTTCTCATTGTGTTCATCTCTTTGTATTCTAACAGTCAGCATTTTTACTACACTATTTTTCTTCCAATCTGTACTCTCTAATAAGATTGTTATACAAGCATTAACACCATTCTTTATAATAATAAATGCCTTTACACACACAACAATCACATTAAAACTTTCTTCCTCCCTTTGCATCTTTCACAAAACTCAAAACTCAAATCTAGTTTAACCAAAGTAAACTTAATTCGGTTTGAAAACAAGAGAGGAAGAGATCAGAGGGACATAAAGCATACCCAAACCCAATTATTCTCCTCACCGAAACGCCATTTCCTCTCTCGCTCTCTCTCTCCCCCTTGTGGTTGTTGTGTAGAGAATGAAGGATAAATAAATGTCTGTAATCATGTAAAAAATCAGCACCAGTGGTCGGTCTAGTGGTAGAATGCCATTCTCAGATGTCAATGCCGTGAGACTGATATCTTTCTTTTATTATTTGTGCATTCATCTTGAATTTTGTTTATGCTACATATTATTCCTCCTNTGGTTGTTGTGTAGAGAATGAAGGATAAATAAATGTCTGTAATCATGTAAAAAATCAGCACCAGTGGTCGGTCTAGTGGTAGAATGCCATTCTCAGATGTCAATGCCGTGAGACTGATATCTTTCTTTTATTATTTGTGCATTCATCTTGAATTTTGTTTATGCTACATATTATTCCTCCTTCTAACAGATTGTTTGCAACACTCTTGAGTTTTTGGTTACGCTTAGTTTATGAATCCTTTGACTTCTAGGTAACATATTTCAGCCTTGTTTGGCCTCTTCTCTGCTTTTTTGTTGCGCTCCTTTTGCGTTTGGAGCCTTAAGAGCAATCGTAAAACTTCAGAAATTTGTACATGAGAATAATATGTTGGAAGTAAACTAATAGTGGATACAACATCTACTTTTCTTGAATTTAATAGATTTTAATACATTTCTTTTTAATTTATAATTTTAAAATTTTGAAAAAGAAAATCTAATTTATTATCTTAAAAAACAAATTAAGCACGTAACTTTGAAATATGATATTGATTTTTTATGGTTTAATATTTATAAACAACATGTTAGGTTATATATTTATGATTTATTATATATGTAAATATATATTTTTTTTATGTTTCTTAAAAACTCATATCAACAAAAATTTTAAAATAGTGAATCTCGCAATTGTTTTCTTTTTTTTTTATCACCAAAATTTAGGCTAAACCAAAAAAATAATAGAAAACCACAACTATTTGATGTATTGTTAGCTATAGAGATTATTTATGGAGCATTTGAATAATTGTTAAGATATATGGTTCAAATGTTAAAATAACTTTGGAAGACCTTTTACAAATGATTGAAATAACATTGTATTTCTTATATTCTTTTTGATAACATGGCAGTTTAAATGGAGAGAAAAACTTTCTTTATTTAATAAGATTAGGGATTGTTAACTCTATGCTTTGTGTGCCTTTCATGTTTTGAGTAATAATGATTTCCAAAAACATGAATAAATATACTTGATTTCCAAGCTCTTTAAGTAGCACATATATTTTTGCAATTATACTTATCATGAACTGGGGAGAAAGAGAGATCAGTTTCGATAACAGTGGCATGGAAATGATCATCCTATGCTTTCTTTTCCTAATGTTATTTTACTTCCACCACTAAACGTGAATGTGAGAGATAACATAGGTATTTTACTCATACGAAAATACCCTCAAAATAATACAGACATTCTCTTATTTTTGTCACATTTCTTAAAGAATTACAATCTTTAAGCTTTTATACACTAAGTGAAGGTTATTTGGAGTGAAAAAAATGTAAATATAAACAACCTTTTGTGCTCAGATTTCTTCGAGTAGTGCTGCCTGAAATAAAAGGTATGGTGATCTTAGTGGTTTGTGATTATTGTTAGTATCTAGGAAAACCCATACTTTCCTCAGATCAGAGAGACACTTGGCTCATTCTTCTTGTTTGCTTCAAGTGAGTTATTATCACTTGCTAATGCCTTTTCTTCTTCAATCTGTTTGATCCATATATTTAGTTTGTTAGAAAACACTTACATATTCATTAAATAAATAAAACACAAACCTGATTTTTTTTCATTTCAAAATTGCTATTGAAACCGGCAAATATGGGTGGCACAATACACCTCTCGTAATCACTTGATTTGCATCAGTCCCTTGCAACGCTATTGCTATGTTATCTCTAGCTCTCACAATGGCTCAACCTTGAAAGCCAAGCTCTAGGGACCGCATGGTTCCTTGATCTCCTATAGCATAATCATTACCTATCAAAAAGTTTCAGCAATGTAAGCCATCAGCTGAAGCAGTCTATTTCCTTAAACAACATACTAAAGGCAAATCCATAAGGAAAAAAAAATTTAAACTATGGCATGGACTGCTTCAGATCTGCTAAGCAATTCATCCGCAAACTACACCAGAAATGCAAGGTTAGGTATCAGGAAATAGAAACAGGAACAACCTACCATGAGGATAGTTGTCTTTCAGAGGGAGCTGAAACAAAGCTTTGGTTTTCCATGGCAATTTTAATGGAATCCATGTCAGCTTCTTTAAAGCGACAGGAATGCAGAAAAGATCCAGCATACTTAATCAAACCAAATATGTCTGTCAAATACGCAACAATATCCATTTTATTGACTGTGACTATGACTTGCTCCACACCAAAACCTCTCAAAGTCAGGCACTTTGAGAACATGAAATGGTTCCACCATAAGAAGCTAATGAGTTTAACCGTACACCACACGACCACTCTATAGCAAATACAAATCCAAGGATATACAAAGCCAAGCACTTTGAGAACATGAAAAGGTTTCACCATTAAAAGCTAATGACTTGCAAAAACCAAACTCATTTTGAACAGAGCAATCAAACAATATTGATAAACAAATTAAAACAAAAAGTTGTTCACTTCAGTAGAATACTCTGAAACACTTGAAAATTGTCTTACACTAACTTTAAAGTGAATCAAATGGTATACAAAGCAAAGCACTTTGGCACATGAAATGTTTCAATCATAAGAAGCTAATGACTTTCAAAAAGCCAAAACGGGTTCCTTCGTAACAAATGTAAACCTTTCATGTTCTTAAGAAAAATGATATTTAGCAACAATCAAATATTAGATACTCTATGATATAATTCAGTCATAATTCCATAAAGTCATAGCTGTTCTTAAGTCCTTTGGATAAGAGAGTCTTTACTATCGTCTCCCATTGGACTGGAGATGTCACCTGGCCGGGTTTCAACACCGTTTTGAGTCTTTATTTTATAAGTAAAACATAGTCCTAATGATGGAGTACTGACTAGTTTACCTGGGGTGCAAGTATTTTCTTGATTGTGTCTGGATCTGCATGAGGCTGCGCATCCACATTGGAGATCACTGGGATCCTTGGACCTCTGATCTCCGTTGTTGCCAATGCAGCCTCTAATCTAGACACTGCTGGCTCCATGAAACTTGTATGGAAAGCACCTGAAACAGCTAGACGAACCTACACACCCCAACCATCATGTTTCTTTTTAGCCTCAGTGAAGACATGCATAACATAAGATAATGGGATATGTTGAGAAGATACCGTGATTCTGGCCTTGAATGACTTAGCTTTGGCTTCAAATAATAATCTAATCAAATGCATGTTTACAAGATCGCTTAAACCTACTTCTGTACGTCCATAATTTTAAGATTTTATGACTTCTAATTACCTCAACAGTGAACAATCTGTGGTATCATAAGTTTGTATAAACGTGCGGTTCAAAGTTTTAATACATCCGACAGTCAACACGCTGAGGCTCTCGTGAGAGAGGTTCAAATCCTATCTGAATTCAAAGGGTGTCAAAAAAATTATATACATTATTATAACAAAAAATATTTTTTACAAATTGATCGGGATATATGATTTTTTGTACATAAATTAGTGGGATCAAATGCCAAATTTTGACTAAATATTATAGTAAATTTAGAAAAAAATTATACTAAAATTTTTTCTTCTTCAATTGTACTAGAGACATGTTTTTATGTGGAGTCAAGTGAAAATTAAATTAAATTAAATTAAATGCTAGATTGAATTGTTTGAATATTATTTAAATATTTCTATTTTTTTTTAGTGATAACACAATTTTCTGTGGAATTTTAACAGAATCAAAACATTATTTTTAGCTAAAATCGAATTTTAAAGATTATAGTTGACTACAAGTCCAACAAAGTGAACAATATTTTCACCGTGCAGATTAAGAGTTTTATAGTGGGTAAAAAGTAATAAAAATTGTCCGAAAGCAAATTAGTAAAATAATTAATCCAGCCATTAAGAATATATTGGATTTTGAGAACAAAGCCAGATTTTGTTATTGGTTTTGTTTTCTTTTGTGAAAAAGAGAAAAAGGAAATTGTGACTTTGCAAAAAAGGAAATTGTGAGTTGTCTACGCGTTTTCGGTAAGTTATATATTTGATGTTGGGACACGCTGACCAACGTTATTTGCTAATTCTCTCAGATTTCACTCCACTTAGGGTTTCACTTCCCCGAGAATCCATTCTTTTTTTTTCTCTCTCAATTTCTGCAATGGCAGGGCCAAATTTGCACTTTGTTAAGCTTCTAGGTCAAGGTTCCTTTGGTTCGGTGAGTCTCTATCAACGCATACGCTACGACGGCGCTATGATCTCCGTCGCCGTTAAAACGTTCGATAGTCAACACGCGGAGGCTCTCGTGAGAGAGGTTCAAATTCTGTCCGAATTCAAAGGGTGTCCGAGAATCGTCCAGTGTTACGAGACCAGAGTTGAAGCAAGTCTCAACCAACTAGGTTGCTTGGAGTACAAGATTCCCTTGGAATACGCTCCCGGAGGGAGCCTGAGTGGTTTCATCAACAAATTCAAAGACCAGAAGCTGCCTGATCCTCTGATCAGAGACTTTACACGTATGCTTCTCCAAGGCTTAGCCACGATTCACGCACACGGCTACGTTCACTACGACCTCAAGCCGGAGAACATCCTCGTTTTCCCTAGATACGCCTACAAGAACGGCGCGTGGAGTTCTTCTTTCGAGTTGAAGATATCTGATTTTGGGCTGACGAGAAGGGAAGGAGACAGTAGCTGGTGGAACCCTAGTCGTCCGTTTGCGGGAACATCGATCTACATGTCCCCGGACTCGGTTTCTTATGGCGAGACAGGGAAAGATCTTGACTTGTGGTCGTTGGGGTGCTGTGTGCTTGAGATGTACACTGGAGAGGGACCTTGGTGTCATAAGAACTACCAAGTAGATGATCTCATGATGGGCCAAGAACCAATGATTCCGAGTGACCTTCCTTTCGAAGCAAAACTCTTTATCATGACTTGCTTCTCGCCAAGGACAAAAGACGCGACAAGATTGTTGAAGCATATCTTCGTGCGTGAAGAAGAAGGGTATAAGATCACACAGCCTTCTCCTGTGAATGATAACATAGAAGCAAAAATAGCGCAACTGGCCAAATTTGTCAAAAGCAATGTTCCTAAAACCCAAACCATTCGTGTTCCTGCTGCTGCTGCTGCTCAAGTCATGCCTAACAAGACCATCATCGCCTAGTTTCCTTCCTGTTCCACTACCTCATCTCCTTTAATCAGTTGTAAATCTCGTTTGTTTTAATTCATTCAACTAGAATTTATGTATAGGTTTTGTCGTAACTCTAGATCTGGTTGAGTGTATGTTGACTTCTTGTCTATATAACAATTTGAGAACTTCTCTTTCTGCATCTTTTCTTCTTTGCCTATATATCTTTTCTCCTTTTAGTATTTAAATGTGTATGTGTACAAGTTTGCTTGGTTTCTTTATGTCTATAAGTTTTGTAACTTCCATGATTATCTGCAATCACACTTGAGTTCTTTGATAATCACACTTCATAGCTTTAACTTAGAGGTAGCAGAACTGCAGAAGTTGCATACACAATCATCTATTTCTTTAATGAGAATTTGGCAGTAGAGTAACAGTTGTATAATACTGATTAAACATTCAACTATTATGAAAAATAACTGGCTTAGCATTGATTTAACAATGGCCAACGATTGGGGGTTTTGTCGTTTACAACAACATAAGATTACAGAACACCCTGAACAGAGTAATTTTCACAAACTTGTGAGCAATCTTAAGAATCATACAACTTTATTTTGTATGAAAAACAAGAGGCACCTTTAAGGTGCATGAAACAGCTTGCTTGTTGGAACACAATGCCTTCCCAACAATGCATGAACCTTTTTCTGCAGCTAATACCGCATTGGACATAACCGCTTCATACACAGGACCAAAAAAGATCCTTGTCCAAGAATGGCTGTGAAAGTTTGTGTTGCCTTTTGAATATCCCTAAAATAAAGTTCAAGACAATAAGCTTCATTGGACATAACCGCTTTGTATGTGAACTCCATGTCTCCACCTTGACTTCTGTTATGTTAAACTACCGAAAGAAGTAAGAAGTATTTTACAATAACAAAGCATGTAAAGCAGTACAGATATACTATTTACAGATGCCTCTAGATAGGTTTGAGCAAACCCTTCAGAGAGCTTAGTTGGTAGGGACAGTCAAAATAATGATCTTGTGGAGTAGTCTAAAAAGATGATATGGGCCTGCACAACGAGAATGAATCAAGATCTCTTGTTACTCAAAGGCTGAACATGAAACAATCTAGATTCACAGGTTGCAGAAGGATAGCAAAGAAAACCTTTTTCAAAGAAGTTGTAAGTCTACTGTCTCAAGCAACCATCTTCCTCATGCATTGCTTACAATATACTGCTACCACGACATGAAGCTATCCAAAACGGGACAATAAACAATCTTTTAAGAGAATATCAATGAGGAAAATAATTCAAAATCTCACATTCAAAGTTTAATAGCAAAACTATATCTTGGTCATGAACTAGCTTTAGATATAGAAAACATGTAAGAATCAACATCGTATTTAACGTAATGAAGAATAAATAAATAAAAAGACATAAACTTTATCAAAAATTGAGATAAACCCATAAGTTCTAACACCAAATTAAGCACAAACAAAGAAGTTTCGATTCGGTTTGAAAACTTCCAAATCTCACATTCGGTTTGAGAAGAGAGGGAAATACTTCAAAATCTCACATTCAAAATCTCAATAGCATTAGCATATGTACATATTTGTTACTAGACCGAAAAAATTAAATATTGAGTTTTTTTGAAAAGAAGCAAGGATCATCAACATATTGAGTTCAGCCTAATGGAGGCATCTTCTCTCATGCCCCTATTTTTTTAAAGCTAATCTCTTATGGGCTCACAAGATCTCTTATACCCCTATTTCATAATTCTTTGTTTTGATCAAAACCCAAACCCCCAATTAAATCCTTCCCGGTTTTCAAAACTAAACAACCCCCCCTATGAATTAGTGAACTCTTGGACAAATATTTAAATTCTATAGTGATCAAATTTCTAAAAAAATGTATTTTAAAATTGTTTTTAATCATAAATTGATGATTTTCGTGAAAATATGAAATTTTTTTTTTTTAAATTTTGAAATATTTTTATCAAATTCTATAAATCAAATAAAAAATATTCACGTTTCCAGTTTAATTTTATGATTTTTTTGACATATAAAATTAAAATAAGAAATGTGTCCTAGAAAGATTAGAGAATGAGAAATAGGGGTATTAGATGAATTGCCTCAGCCTAATGAAGAATAAATATAAAACACTAACACTAAATTTAGCACGATCAAAGAAACTAAAACCGTCTTCGAGAAGAGTGGGAAAGAGAGCAAACCCCAAGAGGCTGGAGGACATTAGATTCGGATGCGAGAGATGACGCGAAGAGCTTGCTTGCCCGAGTAATCATCATCCTCTAGTTGTCATCGGAATCGCCATTTCCTGCAACGAAAGTCTCCCACTCTGTTTCCAACTTGTGGTTGTATAAATATTCCTCTGGACAAATAAGCAATCAGCACCAATGGTCTAGTGGTAGAATAGTACCCTGCCACGGTACAGACCCGGGTTAGATTCCCGGATGGTGCAACAAGAGTTATGAAGAAATTTGGCTTAGTGAAGGTTGGGTCCTTTGCACCATCTGCTACATATGATGATATTTGCCACATCCTGAGCTTTTTTTTTGTTTTTGTTTTCTTCTTATTGTGTTCATCTCTTTGTATTCTAACAGTCAGCATTTTTGCTGCACTATTTTTCTTCCGCTCTGTACTCTCTAATAAGATTATTTTACAAACATAAACACCATTTTTTTATGATAATAAATGCCTTTACACACACAACAACCACAGTAAAACTTTCTTCCTCCCTTGCATCTTTCACAAACCTTTTTCTACACATACCGGCTTCCAGGTCATCAGGAATAGAATCAGATGTCAACGTATCTGCAGACATCATAACGTTTTGAGTTTTTAATCCCAACGGCTGACCAGACTGGTTTGCACAATCTTGTGCTTAATCTTGTGAAAGCATCCAACTTCACTTTCTCATGAAATAGTAACAGGTCCCTTTGGCACAACAGCTTTTTGAGTTTTTCATTTCCACGGCTGACCAATTATGACCAGACTGGGTTGCACAGTCTTGTGCTTAATCTTATGAATGAAAGCATGATCCAACTTTACTTTGTCATGAAACAGGAACAGGTCCCTTTGGCACAAAATCTTGGTCGTGGTAGATGGTGTCTGATACTCTGCTCGGTGGTCAATACCGGAACACAGATCTTCCAATAATGTTCTCTATTGGGAGTGGACCCCTGCCTACACATTGACATCTACCACTACCAGTTATGAGAATTAAAGCTCTTGTTGCGGTTGTCTACGAGTACAAAGACATGACCTTTGGGAACAAACTGCATACATGAAGCAAACGTTACCAACAGTCCATTATGTAAAGAAGGATAAGCAATGTGGTAAGTACAATCTGCTCACCATTGGTTCCATTCCATAGGCCATTGGCTCCAAGAAAAATTCCTCTTCTTGCACAGTGTCATTTACAAAGAGCTTCCCTGTCACGAACCTGCATTACCATCATCCATAGCTTAAAACAACAACTTGACAAAAAGAGAAACAGAGAAAAGGTTACGGCCATTTCTGAGAACACTTGTTGTCCGAGAATCCCTCTCTATAAAAATAAAATACCGACCCGAGTTGAACAAAGAGTCACTAGTGAGATTCAAAACATCATCTTGGTCATGAACTAGAGGAGAAGCATTAGCCATGAGTTGGTTGGAATTGAAATAAGCAAGGATCAAAACATCTCTTGTTCACCCCAAATAAATAAAGAAAAAAGAGATAAACCCGTAGGAACAAAACTCAATTCTAGCTTAACCAAACTAAACTCAAACCCAATTATTCTCCTCATCGAATCGCCATTTCCTCTCTCTCTCTCTCTCTCTCTCTCTCTCTCTCTCTCTCTCTCTCTCTCTCTCTCTCTCTCTCCCTT